TTAAATTCACTCTGGTACGCACGGAAGCAATTACATACTAAGTATTTAAAACAGTTAATGGAGCTAGCAAAACGGAAACTTAAAGGCAATTTGTTCCAGAGGCCTATAGCGGTTATAAAAAAAGTTCTTCCTGCTTCTGTAGCTCTATTGTATTTCGGAGTTACTAAACTTAAATCAACACTGCGAGTGTTCCTCGAATGTTGTTGGCTATTTAAATTTAATAGTCTGCTTAAGTACTCCGGAGTAGCATTAATAGTACGCTTGTAGATCATAATACATTTTCTGATATCCGACTCTACGTAAAAAGGTAACCAACCAAGATTATTAAATAGATTAATCGAGGAATGACGAGGTTCAGCGTCAAGGATAATTCTGGCACAGCGTTTTTGAAGTTTGAAAATTTTAGTGATATTGTTCTTACTACAGTTTGTCCAGGTTATACTACAATAGAGAAATAGAGGTTTGATCATAGCATTGTAGAAAAGAATACGTTCGTTTCGAGGCAGGTAGGATTTTATAGACTTCAATATTCCAATACGTTTCGATAGTTTCATTGCCATTATATCAACATGAGTGTCAAAGTTTAAATCTTCATCAATATTAAAGCCCAGTAATTTCACAGTGTGCGCTTGTTCTAATGAATCATCGTTCAATTTAATATTGAGAGTTTGATTCTCAGGAGTAAGCTTAGCTTTAAGACGTTTACCAGAAATCAGAATGGTTTTAGTCTTAGTGGTATTGAGAGGCAGTTTATTGGTAATGGCCCAGTTTTGAACGTTAGAGACTTCCAGAGATAATTTCTCATTAAGTTCATTAATATCATTATAATCAGTGGCAGCGAGTAAGGTAGTGTCATCAGCGAATAAATCTACTTAGGTGTTGATATGTAGAGGCAAATCGTTTATAAAAACGAGAAACAATAGAGGCCCAAGGATAGAACCCTGTGGTACTCCGTCCGTGATTACTTTTGTTGTAGAAGACTGGCCTTTGAAGTTAACATATTGTTTACGGTCTGATAGATAGGATTTAAACCAATCAAGCGAGCTCTGATCAAGATGGTATGCTCCAAGTTTATCAAGCAGGATACAGTGATCAACCATATCAAAGACTTTCTTATAGTCGACTAGGACCATGCCATTAATGAGATGATAATGGAACAATAGACGTTTCTATTTTAATTTAATAATTTATCTCCTTCCTGACAGGCCGGTTTCGCATTACATTTCGATTCAATTTTTCTAATATAAATATCTCGGCGAGTATTTACCCCCCTTTTAAATAAATGACACCATTGAAATCCTCATAAAATAACCTTTCGAACGGGGGGTCAAGTGCCGTCAAAACATTACACAAAGCGAAACAATCATATATTTACTCACCGCTTGGCCAAAGATTCTAAATTTCATATCCACAAGATCTTGAATACCCCTTGAACTTTTCGTCATTTGCTAAACGGCTATACGTGTAAAATACTCTCTGTATTCAAGCGCTTTCGTGTAGAAAGTTTCGTATGTATACGCCGACTAGAAATATTTATTTTGAATTTTTCAAGATATCGGGTTTTACTCGCACTTGCGTACATTGCGCAATAATTGGCCAATAAGAAGCTCCTTTGGCCGGGATGACGTCAAACTCACGCGTGTAGGTGCAATTTGACCTTGCGAATCCATTTCTGGCCTTTCCAGGGTCATACGATACAAACGCCGCATTGTTTTGACGGGTTTCAGTCGTATTTCCGGTTGGGATTAATTCACTTCGAGCTCACAGTCGGACAAGAAATGGAAATATATTGATAAAAGATACAGATTTGTAGATTCAGGGTTGCAAATAACACTCCAAAAACACTATTTAATGGGGATTCGAACAAGACTATTACAAAGACGATATGTTCGATGGGGCCGAAGTTATTTTCGGCGAAAGGTATGGCTAGTCTATAATAATCTGTAATTTTTGTTCAGACAATTGCGTAATTTGATACAATATGATCGTTTTGACTTTCAAAGGCCCATAAATCGTTACAATACTAATAATGACTATAACTATCGTTTGGAACTAGTTGATATTTTATTTCTGAATCGAATGGTGGTATTTCTGTCTTCATAGCATGCACTGAACCGAAAGTATGAAATTTCGAGCCGTCGATCGCTCGCGATCGACGCGAATTGGGCCTGTCAGGAAAGAGTTTAAAACTGTGTCAGGCAATAATATTTTTGACAAAAATTATTTTCATCTCGTTAAGCACAATGTCAAGGATATAATTCGGCCTCTGTCAAGAGGTTATATGTTTTCACCTGGCGGTTTATACAGTATATGTATGTGTGTTTTTGTGTGGCCGTAGGCCAAGGATATCGATTAAATTTTCGTTCAGTTGGGATGAAAATAAAAATATATCTCGTACATTGTTACACAAATTTATAAAAATCCACACAATCACAGTAATTTATGCGGAAAATACAAAGGAAATCATGACTACGGAGGAGCTTGTATATCTGATATAAGATCCTGCTCTTTCCATAAACTTTAAAATATTTTTTCTCACCAAACATCATTCATATCTTGAAATTATTGAAAAATACAAACGTTTTTATCAAGACAAAATCACAAGCTATACAGCTAATCCAATTCCTTAATTGAATTAGCTGTATATAGCTTGTGATTTTGTCTCTGAAGGTCAAAACCTTCGACCAGTCGACCTCTAAGCGTGAAATGCACAATGGGATTGTTTACTACTATGAGATTGTTTATGCACGCATGTTAGTGCAATCTTTGTGGCTGTTTATATGGTCCCAAACAGGTGGGAAATTTGTCTGACCATGGCAAGCAAAATGAGCCACGCAATTGCGTGGAATACACGCAACGCGTGTTTACAAAAAGGCTCAATGTATAAATATTGCCAAATGTTTGGTACAAAATAAATGACTGTTTTATGTTGAAAATGGACATTATCTAAATTAATCATACAGAATTTTTTGGTGACGTTCTATTTCAGTACTCTGCCATTGTCCCTGGTGTGCTGTCCGTGTGCATTCGATCTGAAACAGTTGCTACTTTGCTGTTGAAGCATTTCGAATGTTTGCATGAAAATAGAGATAAGTCATGCATTTTACAACCTCGAAACTGTATGAGCCCCAATTTTTACGCTTATACCTAAGATATCAAATAAAAATACATGAAACAGAGAACATTTTTAAAAAGTTTTATCGTGGGGCCACGGCCAGTTTTTAAAATATCTTTATTTTACAACCTCGAAACTGTATGAGCCCCAATTTTTACGCTCATACCTAAGATATCAAATAAAAATACATGAAACAGAGAACATTTTTAGAAAGTTTTATCGTGGGGCCACGGCCAGTTTTTAAAATATCTTTATTTCTGTTCCGGTCATCACCAAAATTACACTGAAGCTGGACTTGAATATTCAACACATTTTGAATCTCATCAAATACAAAAATATTTAACGTGCAACCAAAATATGCTCATGAAATCGAAATTAATAGCTAAACTTTTAAACTAGACCCTTCTCGAAGCGGTTTTCATGAAAGAAGTTCACATTTCGGCCTTTGATTCTTGGCAAAAATTTGACCACAACAAGTGCAAAGCAACTGGGTCTCAAAGACTTAGCTAAAACAATGTAAACCCCTATTTTCCTGACGATAAGCTTGATATCTACAAACGCCGAAAATTTTTTCTTTTCATTTAGCTATATTTGAAATTGAGGCCACGGGCTATTTTTAAAAAAATACAGTTCAAAGTCAAGCTATTTTTACGTATTTTCAAAATTTGTCAAATTTCGCGAGCTCGTATTTTGAACTTAGACCGCTGAGGTTACATTAAGAAATATAGGATGGGAAATTTGAGGCGTACAAAATTAATTTCAACATACATTTCATTCTCATATCACGTTTAATTTTTCTTCGTTTATTACGCTTTTAAAAAAGCCATTAGCTCGACGAATAAGGTATTTACTCCCCATCCTCGTACCCAGGGTCTTTTTGGGAAAGACCCTGGTATCGGCTGGTCACGTGATAGCATGAAAATTCATGCCCCGTGTGGGGGTGGGGTTGGGGTAGTGAAAAATTTAGCCTGTCCGCAGGCTATTCCGTAAGCCGCCATGTTTAAAAGTTCGAAGTGTCGGCAATTTCTTTTGTGCTTGGATTTTGCAATATTAAATAGCGTGTACTGCGAGATTATTTTAAAACCTAAACAGGTGATTTGTTTTGAAAAAGTATTTGTGAATTTGGATATTCTTGCTGTTCTACCTACTGGATACGGTAAATCGTTGATTTTTACCTGCTTCCTGCGTTGTTGTATGCGAAGAAGCACGGTGTTCCGAAAAGCAAAGAAAACATATCATCAAATATTATAGTCGTATCACCTCTAAACGCTCTGATTACAAACCAGATCTCACGGTTGGACTCAAGTGGAATTCGGGCAACTGCTCTAGACATAAGATCGTCAATAGAAGTTGAGGAAGAGCAAAACGACCCTGAATCAAAATTATTTGTCTGTGACTTTCATCTCAGCGACAAAGCCAAGCTTGAAATCGGACACTATAACATTGTGTTCGCACACCCTGAAGCGTTTGTTTCATGTGCCTATTGAAGGAAGTTGATGCAGAGTAAAGCTTACCAGGAAAACGTCTGTGCGATTGTTGTAGACGAAGCCCATTGTATTTTAGAGTGGTAAGTTTTATAATGATATTTTATAGTTTTGTTTATAATATTTTGCGGAAGAACAAATTCCAAATATGGATTAATTTCCGGGCTAATTTACTCAGGATAATAACGAGTAAGACTTGTAGTTGTCTATCAATAGTCAAATTTGTATTCAAGATTTTTTACATTTTACTAGAAAATTATTGAGGACAATACTCATCTCATTGGGTTGTTTTATTTTATTGGGCTATTCCATTTAATATCTGTACCCCTATCGAGGACATGGTCTCCAGCGCTTTTGCCCCTGAGGAATTCCAGTCCGATGATATGCCTACCCTGAGAACCTCCAGCCTAATAATATGCTAGCCCTAAGGAATTCCAGTTCAATCATATGCATATGCTGAGAATTCCAGTCCAATAGTATGCCTACCCTGAGGAACTCCTGCCTGATAATATAATATCCTTAGTCTGAAGAATTCCGGTCAGATAATATGCTTGCGATGAGGAATTCCAGGTTGACAGTGTGCTTACCCTGAGGAATTCCAGTCAGAAAATATGCTTATGCTGAGGAATTCCAGCCTGAGTGAAAACAGCCTACACCTGAATATTTTCAGGCTGAAAACTATCCACACCTGAGGATTTCCGGACTGAAAGCAGTCCACACCTGAGGATTTCCAGGCTGGAAACCGCTTAAGACCCATTTCCACTCAAGAAAAATTTCCACGGACAGAAAATTTTCCGAAAACATCATTGTTAAAAGTTGAAAATTTTCAACTTCAAAATTTTTTTCCGATGAGAAATTTGTGTCGGCCGATCACATTTTACAAATTTTCTTTCCCCTGAAAATTTTCCTGAGTGGAAATGGGCCTTTACACCCAGAGGATTCCCAGTCTCTTCGATAGGGGGGGGTGTATACATATTAAATGGAATAGCCCATTGGTTGTTTCTAATAACTCTGTCCAGTGCCAAACCAACCAGCAGGGGCAGAACATATTGTGTTTTGCTACTTGTGCATTAACAAAGTTTAACAAAAATACACATTTTGTTTCATTTCAGGAGTAAAGATTTCAGAGTAGACTATGGCAACTTGGCTGTTTTGTGTGCAACATTTTCAAGTGTTCGAGTTGTAGCCATGACTGCCACAGCAAACAAAAATGATAGAGAATCTATCAAAAAGTCATTGGGTTTGAAAACATGTGCAGAAGTTGTTGGCAATCCTGACCGAACAAATATTATGTAGGAGAAACATTTTCGAGGTGAACCAGATGTGGATTCTCTAGTCAGAATTATTACTCCCATTGCTAAAGATTTGTTGAAGGAACAGACAAATTATCCTTTGACAATTATCTACATTCCATTGAAGTGGTGTGGATTTGCCTATAAGATATTTGAGTCTGTTTTGGGGAGCAGTCAGTATTTCCCATCAGGATCAATGCCAATACCTGAGAACAGGCTGTTTGCTCAGTTCCATTCACCTCAAACGCACGAAGTGAAAGATGAAGTTCTGAAGCAGCTGTGCTCTTCAGAAAGTACCATAAGGGTTGTATTTGCCACAGTTGCTCTGGGAATGGGCGTTGATATTAAAGGCATACGGAGTGTTGTTCATATCACCCCACCATATACCATCCAGACATACTTCCAAGAAACTGGCAGGCCTGTAACTGCAATTCTGCACTACAACAATCGTGACATTGCAAAAAACAAAACAGGGATGCAAGAAGCAGTTAGGACTTTTTGCCAGAGTACGGTTAAGTGTCTTATATTGCTCACTTCACGTACGGTTAAGTGAAATATATTGCTCACTTCACTAGATACTGACCAAAAATATATCAAGCCAATTTATCCTAAACACCTTTGCTGTGGCATTTGTCAGTTAAAATGTGATTGCCCAAGTTGCGTTTAGTTTCACACACTTGTGCCACCCACCACATAACAGAACTTTGGAACAGAACTGCAGAACAGAAATTTATAAGTAATGTATATGTTTGTATGCTTTATAATCGGGAGAGGATATCATGTACTTTGTGGTAAATGGTGTAAATATGTTATTCTGTTGTCAAGTTGAATTGATGATAGACTTGTTACACTATTTAAAGTATCAGTCAGGAAGTTGTTGTCGTTCATGTTAGTGGAATCTTCACTGCACACATCAGTGCCGTAGCCAGACCGATAATTAGAGGAGGCAAATATTTATATATTTGTGTTCTGCTTTATTAATTTCTTTTGAAATCAATTGTTTTTATGGTATGTGAACACAAATATATGAATATTTGCCCCCTAATTATCGTTCTGGCTACGGCACTGGCACAAATTGTAAATAAAAATGCCAATTTGAAAAATACAGCGTATTCTACATATACTGCAGTAATGTAATGGACTGAATTGTCCCATTTATTACTCTTTTAATCACATCAAACAGATTTTCAGTCCCTTGTTGTATATAATATATACAGTTCACCTTCTGTGAATAATAACCCAACAGCACAATGCTTAAAATATACCTTACTGATTATTGCATTTTCCCGAATGGCCTAGTTTTCATGTGGGTTATACTTCATGCACAGCAGGCTAAGAATATGTTCGTAAATTAATTGGGCTAAAGATTGAAGAAAATCATATACATTCATGCACAAAACATGTGGATATAACCTGTACGTGCACCTGCCACTTTAAGGCAGTCGAACATGGAAACAAGGCCATTGCCAATTGGGGAAAATGCAATAAACCTAAAACGGTAATGTCTATTAGCAGTGAGTAGAGCCACAAGATTGACAGGGATAAAGGAGTATGTACATTGTGGCTTAAGTGCAATGGCAATTTAGTGCTCTTTTAAACGTCTGTGCAGTGCTCTGTCAAATATCATCTAATACTTTGCAATGTACAATAGCACATTAAGTTGCTAAAATGTGTCACTTTGTTGACACATATTCTCCACAGGTTCAACTGCAGGTGTATCATCAACTGTTGGGAAATGCAATGCAATATTCTTTTGATGTCGTTTGAGCCATTCAGAAAACAATTCCTCATTTAAATTCTCTAACGGGTCAGATGGAATCCCCACAAACGAATTGTGGGATCGTCCAATAACAGGAGAGAAGGGCTTTAACTTGTGCAGATCATGTGCCACTTTATTCCCATCTTGTGAAGAGGACCTATGGCAATGGGCTGACGACTTGGGTTTAATTACCGCCTGTTCCTCAAACACATGAACGACCTTACGAACTCCACCAACTACCTTGCTCATTCTTCCAATAGCCTTCTCCGTCTAATTGGCACCCATCAAACGAATAAGCCCTTTGAGATCAGCATTTCGGTTTTCTTGCAGCAAATCGATCTCAATGTTTTAGTCTTTTCCTCCTTTCCAATTAGTCAATGCTGCCCACTTGCACTGATGCGCCTCTCTGGGCGAGAGTAGGACTTCATTCTGTACTGTAGAGATAAGCATTTCGATAGCATACGAATTAAATCCAGAAATAGAT